GGTTTAGGGGGGGGGGGGAAATTTAGAGTCGCCAATCAACGTAAGCTGCATGTCTTTGGACTGTGGGAGGAAGCTGGAGTACCGGGGGAGAACAGAAAGGAACCGGGTCGGCCCGGGCCAGAATCCTTCTTGCTGTGAGGTGACAGCACTAACCACCACGACACTCTGCCACCCCTGCCAAGTTTGGGAAGCAACATTAGATTTGACAGTATCATCTCAGAGACATTAGTTTAGGTTCAGAAGTACACCAAGTCTGACCTCCTGTCTGCCTCCTAATTAGAACAAAGGTATGCCAAATCATAGTTGACATCCAAAACAATACAGGCATTTCCAGGTTCAGCATTGACAGGATACATTGTATTTTAATGAACCTCTAATGATAAACTCACAGTTTGACCCCTGCTGTGACACTAATCCAAAAACATAAAGTGTGATGTCATTAGAGAAAGAAAAAGCAGAGACGCTGGCTGGCCTGGATAATGACAACTTCATAAATATGATAATACTGTTCCCCAGCAGATTAAATGGAAGTAGCAATATCCACTTAGCTCAGAGACACATTTGCGTTGTTATATTATCACTGTTTCCTTTTGAGTAAATCTGGTAGCGACACTGATGTTATTATGTTTTATGTTACATTCCACCAACAGTGAATGCAGATAGGATCCTCGAGAAGAGGCACACGTGTTGTTAGTCATAGCTGTGGTGCACAGTGATGCATGAACTGTCCCTGTTTACGTGCCTAATGTAGTTTGACTTTTATGAACAACTGCTGAATATTTGTATTTTTTGACAAATTGTATGACCATAATCACATAATCACCGTCTACTGTTCCATCTCGCTTGCTTTAATATGAGTCATGTCCAGGAACAAACAGTTTAAGGGCAACTGGCGTTCCCACTTCCACTCTGCATGTCCCGCCCTTCCTCTTCTGACTGTGTCTGTACTGCTGGTGGTGAAAACAGTGTGATTTTGTTGTTTTTAGTTCAAGCTTGAAAGCATCAAACAGACTCAGTGAACCGATCTGTTTAAAACACTTGCATGAGGTGAAGCTAATGCCGTACCAGAGCAGAGGCTGAAGTGTTTTATTCAGTGTTTCCTGGGGAAGTGGAATGGACACAAACTACTTGACCGTTGCAGAGTGAAGCAAAAGAAATGGATCATTTAGGGACATAATGTAGAGTTGAATTGTTCTTAATAAAAAATATGCATTTATTCATTTTCCTTTGGAACTTTTACAGGGAATGAATGATTGAGATTTTGATTAAGCCCAAGGAGAAATTTCAGGCCAGGACATTTATATTCAAGAGGCATATCAGGTTGCAAACTCAAACAGAAAATGTGAAAAGTCATTTTCAGACAGGCTACTGGTATTTGACAGTCAGAGCATGTTATCTCTCTGTGTGTGAGAGAGTTTCCACTCTAGGTTTAATAATCAGCTCTTGTTGCAGAAATTCCCATTAAATTAATCTAATTAATTTAAAATTAAAATAAATATGACTACCCAGCATTCACTGACAGAAAGCAGAAGGAGTTTCTTTTCTTTCCTCAAACTAACCCTCCGCCCACTTTCTATCACTCAGACATTTTCACAGCAGTCCTACTCCTGTTATACTGAGGACATTTGGAGGCCACAGTTATCTAGCCCAGTCCAGAGTGATTTAGCGCTAGTGTCAAGTGTGTCATCAAGTCCACCAGTCACACATTTTCTAGGAGGCAAATGTCTCAGCTGGCTCGATTCAAGATGAGCTGCTGCTGAGCTGGGCTCATTACGTTATCTAAACAGAGGTAATGGTGTGAAAACCTACAGTAAATCCATTAAGAATTATAGCTCAAGAAATTAACAAAGTCACCCCCACTCTGCTGTGACTTGCCTTCATGGGTCATGGGACCGTGCCCCCCCGCAGGCTCGAACACTTTCATTAGTTTCTCATACTTATGTTGCATTAATGTGGTTTTGTTACATCTTTCCTGACATCTTCACACAGACTGATGATGCTTCTCTGTTTGATTTGATTTTGTTTTGATTTATTCTTTCAAACATGTAACGACAGTCAATATGTCAACACACATAATTTTACACATATCCACAAGTATATTATCAATTTGCTTATACCTAGTACATGCTTGAACGGAGTAGGAAGAAGTCAGACTTATCCAGTCCTACCCCATGACATCTTCTTACCATCATTGGTTTGCAAGCAGTATTACTACATGGATAATTTTGTTCTACACCACGCTAGTGATATACTAAAAAATATTACAGACTGTTAACATTCTTACATAATGACATGCTTTGATAATTATCTTTTACACCACACAAGTAGAGATATTACATAGTGTTAACATTCATACACCACACCCACAATGTTAAACCTGATTAATCATTAAACCTGTTCTTGCATATATCTTGATTGACACATACCTTTATACTTATGTTTAAGCTCATCAATTCTATTACTGTTTTTTATGTCCACACTTAAATTATTCCATAGTTTTACCCCACTTATGGAAATACAAAATCTTTTTTTGGTTGTACGTATAGCATGAATTTTTAAATTTAACTGACCCCTTAAATTGTATCCCCCTTCCCTTTCATTAAATAGTTTTTGAATTCCACCAGGTAATAAATTGTTCCTGGCTTTATACATAAACACAGCAGTCTTATATCCCACTAAATCAAAAAATTTTAACAATTTAGACTGTATGAAAGCTCCATTGGTGTGATCCCTATACCCCATCTTATGCACAATTCTTATCGCTCTTTTTTGTAATATGTACAATGGTTGAAGTGAACTTTTGTATGTATTTCCCCAGTTTTCAATGCCATACTCTGAGTATGGTAAAATCAATGAAGAATACAAAATGCGTAGTGGTCTCCCGTCCAAAATATATCTAACCCGTGCCAATATCGATATATTTTTTGCTATTTTATTCTGAACATATCTGATATGCGAATTCCAGGTGAATTTGTCATCAACTATGACACCTAGAAATTTAATTTCATATACTCGTTCTATATTAGCTGTTCACCTTGTAATGAGACCACATGTAAGCTGTCATGCCCAAAGCCTTTCTGCAGCTGCAGCTGCCGCACACAAACACACAGAGGCACACTTAAATATAAACAGAACCTTGAGTGAGTACAGTGTGTGTGAGTATGCCTGTGTACAGTAGGTGTGCCTGTGTGTTTTACTGTTGCTGTAAAAAAAAAAAAAAAACCCTCTCATTATAGAGAGGTTTTGCTCATATACTCCCTTATATTTCTGAGTGTGTGAACATTATGACCCACAATGCAGCTGGTAAGTGAGCCTTGCAGACAAAAGCAAGAGAACCCAATAAAAAGTTCCCACTGTAACCCATTTGTTGTTTCACAGCCCATTTATCCACCAGCCATTGCTGGTGGAAAACACACTTGCAGACAGTGCCTCTGGGCTACAGTACCCTCAGGTCAGGAAAGTTTTGGGAAGTTCCTGTGAAATATGCAGAGATCCATCATACAGTAGAGTAAGTAAAGTATGCAAACTGTTTTGGCTGACGGAATCAATTTATTTTTATGTAGAAATGACTTATTTGAACCCAGCTAAACCCAGATTACTCACTCTCTGCCTTTCCCGTGGCTGCTCTGTCACTCTTTGATTTACTCTCTTCATTTTGATGAGTGATGCATGGGTTTCACTGCTCAGTGAGCAATGTACTGAAAAAGTGTCTTATGTTGTATGTGTGCAGCCTCTCATCAACCTGTGGAGGTGGACTCAATCTGCTGCAGAGCAGTGAGAAATAGAGAGAGCGGGGAGTCAGCCAGGCATCTGGGCCTGGCTTCTAATTGCATTTGAAGAGCTTGACCATGTAATCATGCCTGATGTGCTCTCTTTTACATGTGCCTCCTTGGCAGCTTTTATGGAGATGTGACATATATGATACCAGCAGGACATGTTATGACTACATCGTCATCATCATCACTGCTTTTTGCACCTTAAGGCTCTGACATAATTAATCTAACTCTAGAACCTCACCAGCTCTTCTTTTTAATTTGAAACAGACTGTCACTAGAGACAGAAATTGAAGGTTAATTAGAATTAACCTTCACAAAATACCCAGCAGTAAATCACATTAAAACCATAGAAGCTAGTTAAAACTAGCCCCCCCCCCCCTTTACCAACAACATGAAATGTAATAATGCATCAGTAATTATAATCAAATCATATTAGATACATCAATATTACTGTGCCATTCTGCATAATGAGTACTTTTACTTTTAGTACTTTAATTATGTTTTGATGCTGATACTTTTGTACTTTTACTTAAGCAACATTTATTTCTAACAGTATTTTTACACTGTGGTATTGCTACTTTTACTTAAGTAACGGATCAGAGTACTTCTTCCACCACTGTTTTATTTACTTAGTTTTTATCTGCCATGCAGCACTTTGTAACTTGTGTTTAGAAAGGTGAGTGGATAGAGGAGAGAGAGGAGAAGAAAAGCCTCAGGACACAACAAAAACAACAAATAGATGAGATCCCGTCTGCTCATCAGAAACATACAGCTCTGGAGCCACAGATAGCTGCAGGAAGGTACAGGGAGAGAGAGAGGACACCAAACCAAACCTATCCTAGAATGCATGTCAGTAATTTCCAGTAATTTCATAGGCGCCCCTACATGGCCACAAACGAAAGCCATCCCGCTGACTGAAACCACTGATATGGTTAAATATACTCAGTGGCAACAGGACAGCCCGGCCCCCCGTTAGCTTGCAGGTCCTAAGATGGCTGTTGGTCTAAATCACCTACCAGGCCTGTTCTCCAGGGAGACCAACTTTCTCACTGAGTTCCAGTCAGACTGGGAACCTGCCAACATTTCCATCTGTGGAAAACACCAGAACAAGCTCCTTACAAATCTTCTGTGGGTGCTGCCACAGACTGATGGAGAATCAGAATTAGCAACATGCACACTGCACTTCCACCTCCCCCCTGCCTCTCTGCTTTCACTCTGGAGTTGTGATTGAGTCACATAGCAACAAGCTCACAATTTGAGACAAGTAAAACTACTCTAAACCAAGTCCTCACACAACATTTAGCTGTTTTGCAGGTGCATCAGCTCAAGTAATCAATACTGACAGACCAAAACAAAACAAGCAACCTCTGTTTTATGTTTTCTTCCTGATGAAGATCTGTGGACCGAAACGTCGACAGTAAAGTGAGTACAAGTGATGAGCGGTTGGTGGGTTTGTTTTGTTTTTGTCTACAGCCAAATAAAACTAACTTATTAATGTTAATGCTCTGTCCCAGCTGAGAGGTGAGTCTCTCCCTAACAAGCTCATAGGTCCTAGGCCTGCTGAGACACAGTAAACAACACTTTCCCACATCGCAGCACACACCAGCTTCACTAATTAGACTGCAACTCTTAGAGTCAGTCTTACCTTAACCTCTGTGTGTGCTGATTCTTGTGGGTGCAGGTGGATGATTTGTTCAGATGGATGACTGCAGAAAGTACAGCCAGTGGATGCTTGTTTGGATACGTTATTCATTGTTTCCGGCCTTACTGCTTCAGTAGCTTAAAGATCGGATCGAAGCACCCTAGACCTCGCTCGCTAGATTTTGATGGAGATTGTGCCTTAGCAGTAATGGCACTGCTGTCGTGTTCCCCTGAGGCTCCCTGTGCCGCTGCAGCTGCTGAACTCAGGGCCATGAACAACAGTTAACAGAACAAGTTGGTTCTTTTAGGCAGCATCTCCCAGCTCCTGGTCTTCTCCTCTCCAACACTGCTCCAACTAATGACACACAGGTCTGCACCTGTTTCTTTAATAATTTCAACCTCCCCTCATCCGCTACCCCTTGGGCACCTTGTGAAGTGCTGCTCTACTGCTCTCGTGTGAAGCTATTAGGCCATGTGGCCTTCGGCAGTGCACCTGTCTAATGAAATGCTAACTGTGGTTGTCCATCATATCCTGTGCAAAAACCAGCATAGTAAAAATAAGCAGCACTGGTTATGGTAAAATACATTACTGACCCATATCTCTTCTGTATTTAGAAATTAGGCTTTGTGGTGGATTATTAGGGTAAATATTTAATCCTTACAGGTCCAAACGGGCTGCTTCCTGCTCCGCTCCTGTCCTCTACTGTGCAAGCACCTGCTCACTATATATTGTATATGATATAATATCAATGATATGAGCAAAGAGAAGTAGAAAAGGCCATGTGAAGATAATTGAAGTGCTCATCTTTCCTGGCCAGCATCTCACCCTCACCTACAGATATTTGCTTTAATAAAGTTGTGTTTCTCTAATCTGAAAGAGAATTGAGGAGCTTTCAACAGACCACGTAGGAGGACGCTGATGCTGTAACCACACCGCACCCACGCTGTCTTTGCACACTGTGTGTAGCTCAACAGTTGTTCAGTAGCATGATGCATGAAAACAAATTACAGCTGCCGAAACAGTTGAACCCCCTCCCCAGGTATTCTTGACATGCTGTACCGCAAGGGCAAACTCAGATCATTAGGACTGGTATCCCACTATGTGTCAGATGGTTCTGTGTCACCCACTGCAACTGTGAAACCTGCACCTCAGGTATTATACGTTGAAGGATACCACAATACCAGCTGCTACATGGATAAAGGTACATGCCTCTGAGTTGCAGACAGAGTCAGTCATCTTCTTTCTCATGATAAAAGGGTCAGTTTTCAGACAAACGTATTCTGTGTCCTATGCCCTTTTTTTTGTGACACAAACTTCTTTTTCCCAGCTCATGTTGTGATCCTGTTTCTTTGTCTTCTCACATTTTCTTCAGCTGCTGCACTTGGCAACCTGGTGTCTGATCTGGCAGGACTTGGGTGAGAGTTTCACACATACACACCAACACAATCACACACACACATAGGTGGCTATTATCATTAAGGTTTCTGCAGATCACAGCAGCTTCTAGGACAGAAATGTAAACAGGTGTCATTAAGAATTAACACCCTCATAAATATTGATGCTAAACTATTTCTTAACAGATGTATAATAGCCATCGTTGGCCCTCCCACATGGCCAGGTCTGCGATGTAGTGACCAAATCCTGAGTGTTACAGAAGATGATATGCATTTTATGTATGAGGCACACATTTTAGGTTTCCTCCTTTGGGTTTTTCAGTTTTACTTAGTTTCCTCTGATAATGAAACAAACCAAAATAGACATTTGTTTCTGTCTTTCTCCAAAACTGTAGCATAAAAATCACAATGACATGTCCTAGTGGACTGTCAAAGTAGTGTGGAACATGTGATCAAGAAAGTTATAATGAGCCATGAGAACTTGCTGATTATTTTTAAAGCCTGATAAACTTGTTAAGTCTCAATCAGCTGATCCATGACTGTTATCAACTTCAGATCCTCCTAGTGGCTCCAGGGGCCATGATTTATTTCTGAACCTGCTCCACATGGTTAGGAAGGTTTTCTTACTTATAAAAATAAAAGAAACCTCCAGCCATGTGATTCAACAGCCTGTTGGTTGTACTTGAGTGACTCTTAGTGATTTAACACATTATTATTTCTTATGTACAAACCCCAGTTCCAATGAAGCTAGGACATTGTGTAAAATGAAAATAAAAACAGAATACATTGACTTGCAAATCCTTTTTGACCCATATTTAATTGAATACACCACAAAGACAAGATATTTAAAGTTCAAACTCATAAACTTTGTTTTTTGTAAATATTCATTCATTTTGAATTTGATGCCTGCAACATGTTCCAAAACAGCTGGGACAGGGGCAACAAAAGACAATAGGTTGAGGAATGCTCAAAAAACACCTGTTTGGAACAGTCCGCATGTGAACAAGTTTATTGGAAACAGGTGAGCGTCATGATTGGGTATAAAAGGAGCATCCCAAAAGGTTCAGTCATTCACAAGCAAGGATGGGGCACAGGTCACCACTTTGTGAACAAACTGCGTGAGCAAAGAGTCCAACAGTTTAAGAACGTTTCTCAACGTACAGTTGGAAGGAATTCAGATATTTCATCATTTACAGTTCATGATATTATCAAAAGATTCAGAGAATCTGGAGAAAGCTCTGCACTTAAGTGGCAAGGCCGTAAACCAACACTGAATGCCTGTGACCTTTGATCCCTCATGCGGCACTGCATTTAAAACAGACATCATTCTGTAAAGGATATTACCACGTGGGCTGGGGAACACTTCGGAAAACTATTGTCAGTTAACACAGTTCGTCACAACATCTACAAGTGCAAGTTAAAACTCTACCATGCAAAGTGAAATCAACAACATCATCATCAACAACACCCAGAAATGCCACCGGCTTCTCTGGGCCCGAGCTCATCAGAGATGGACTGATGCAAAGTGTGCTGTGGTCTGACGAGTCCACATTTCAAATAGTTTTTGGAACTCATGGGCGTCATGTCCTCCAGGCTAAAAGGAAAAGGACCATCCAGATTGTTATCAGCGCAAAGTTCAAAAGCCAGCATCTGTGATGGTATGGGGGTGTGTTAGTGCCCATGGGTAACCTGCACATCTGTGAAGGCACCATTAATGCTGAAAAGTACATACAGGTTTTGGAGCAAAATACACTGCCATCTAAGCAATGTCTTTTTCAGGGACGTCCCTGTTTATTTCAGCAAGACAACGCCAAGCCACATTCTGCACGTGTTACAACAGCAGAGTGCTGGTACTAGACTGGCCTGCCTGCAGTCCAGACCTGTCTCCCATTGAAAATGTGTGGTGCATTATGAAGTACAAAATATGAGAATGCCAACCCCGGAGTGTGGAGCAACTGAAATTGTACATCAAGCAAGAATGGGAAAGAATTCCACTTCCAAAGCTTCAACAATTAGTGTCTTCAGTTCCCAAACACTTATCAAGTGTTGTTAAAAGGAAAGGTGATAAATAAGTAATAAAAGGTAAAAATCCCCCTGTCCCAGCTCTTTTGGAACATGTTGCAGGTATCAAATTCAAAATAAGTGAATAGTTGCAAAAAACAATAAAGTTTATCAGTTGGAATATTAAATATCTTGTCTTTGTGGTGTATTCAATTAAATATGGGTCAAAAAGGATTTGCAAGTCAATGTATTCTTTTTTTATTTACATTTTACACAATGTCCCAACTTCATTGGAACTGGGGTTTGTAAATACAGAGAGGGGTAATAAATAGTGAGGCTAAAAGACAACTGTACAAAGTGGTAACTAGGCAGGAGTTTATAGTTATGGATGAAACTAAGTGAAATACGCTGTTGTCTTTGCACCGTGTCAGTGTGATGGATTAGCCAGGTTGTTCAAGCCTCTGTAAACACTCTCAGGAGACACACTCACAGTTTTGCTATTGCACATGCACCTGTATTTTCCACTTAACGTAAGTGGGAAGTAGAGTCCCTGTGGCCAGTTTTTCAAGGTGTGACTCAATTAGACCAGACAACTGAGGGATTATTTATTTATTTATAAAGTTACACCAGTGAGTGCGAAGGCTGTTCACCTGCTACACACAGTCTCGGCTGTTGCAGGTGTTCTTCACTGCAACATTTGCATTAGAGCTTGTGTTCATTTGAAAAAAGGAAAGGCAACCATGTGATTTACATTAACTCTGGGAGTCGCTGGCACTGTAGTGGCAGTTCAGTGCTGAGGAGGAGGCTCAGTAGGCTTCGTACTGAGATTGTAAGTGAACGTTGATACATAGCTGGTGGCGTGGCAAAGTAAAAACGGGTCCTGTGACGTACATTTTACTAAGCATGAATGACTTATTAGTATTACGTTGATTTATGTACAAGGGCTGCAATTAACTATAAGTTTCAGTGTTGAATAATCTGCTTATTACTTTCTCAATGATTCTTTTAATTGATAAAATATTAGATAGTAGTGAAAAGTTCCCATTACAATTTTCCAAAGCTCCAAATGGATTGTTTTGTTAAAACAACAGTCCAAACCCTATGGGGTGAATGATACTGGAAAAGTAATGCATCCAGCAAATATTCAAATTTGTTAAGTTATGCCAGTTGTATTTAGTATTTGTTGCTTACAAAAACAACATTAACAACAAAATAATTGTAATAATTGTTGTATTAATTAGCTACTTGACTGATGGACTAAGTAAGTACTGCAGCTGAAGTTTGGGCTCTCTGCTGTTCCAACCTTTATTTATTTATTGTTTTCATAAGTCAACAGAATTATCCATCTGTCTTTGTACCCATACATTTACATATTTTGTAGATGGTTTTATAATTAGCTTGGATTCCATTTTGATTGCTAGCAAACTGCTCTGCGTTTCACTTGGAAGATGCTCAAGATCCCCATTTTCAGTCGGTCTGGGTGTAATGATGTTTATTTGGACGTGTTTCCATGTGTCTACGTGAGCCAAGTCAAAGCTCTAGAGACTGACTGAAATACTGCTAATATGAGCCCCAGACTGTTGCTTCTCTACCAAAGCTTTATTTCCTCAGCCATGTAACTGAATAGCCGAGATGGATGTAGCTGTCTTTACTACATGTTTACTACATGTAGAGTTTCTGATCAATAGCATTGCTGCGTTGTAGTGATCACGAATCGCCGCTCAGTGTCTGTGTATCGACAAGAGACTGAGCTCTGCTGCTCTGCCTTCCTGCTGTGGTAGAGAGTTTTCCATAAGTGTGTATGTGTGTGTATTGTGTGTACTGGTGCCATAGCAACATATGCTTAAGTGAATTTTCTAAGCTTTTCCTATATGCATGTATGTGTTTTGACAGATGTAGGAAATCGGTCCACCCCTGCTGAAATCCATCGTCCAGCTCAGCTCATTTGGCCAGTTTGTTAGTGGGCCAGCTCAGTCTCAGCTGCTGTTTGTTTTTCTTACGAACACACTGCATCAGTGGCTTTCTGGGGCAGACAGGAGACCCAGTAATGCATTACTGCATCAGAGAAAGAAAACAGGACAAAAACAAGGAGCAAAAGGTTAATTCCCAGTCACTTCTTTGTCCGTGACCTCTCTGGTTTCTACCTTTACATCTGAAAACTGTTCACTGACCTTATGTTACAGAAAGTGGATAAAAGTAATTAATAAATGTGATTGATTGTAAAAATGAAAGATTTTGCTTATAGATTTGTCAGGATTGACAATAATGTGATACTTTGTTGATCCCCTAAAGAAAAATGTCATTTTGTTCACCTTCCTGTGAGAAATGTTTCCCTTAACACTCAACCAACCTTTTTGAAACATACCATTTTTACCATCAACTTAGCTCCTTAATCATAATTATGACATTTTGGTTCCTTGTACTGTAGTTGATATTTCTCACAGCTTTTTTCATTGTTTTTAAGAACATAGAAAACAACAAGCACTAACCATGTACACATATATATATATACACACAGTGATATGTAACGTATATGTAAGTAAGTAATAAAATTAGTTTAGATTTACACAGCAAGGCAGTTTACACTGGCCACAGGCCCTTAGCATTTACTGTGAAAACATTTCAGTTCAGGCTTCCAGATCTTATTTAAAAGCATCTCTTTTGTCGCCGTTATAACATCTCAGTCTTTCCAAATATAGAGTTACATTGGTGTGATTTTTAATAACAGACCAAGTCAGAGTTTCCGTGCATATCATGAAAAAAGGGAAACCTCACCTATACTTGTTGAGGAAGTTGAATTCATTCAACATGATGAACTTGTTTTATATGTTTGATGTGGAGTTCCTGCTTCTCAGACTGGGCTGGTAATGTGAAGAGAGCAGAGAGGATTGATAAAATAAAGAAGAAAGCAAGTAAACTAATTGGGTAGAGAGAAACATCAGTAGGCTCGGTGTACAGGAAAAGGGTGTCTAACCTGTTTCAGGATGTTCTAAAGGACAAATATCATCTATTTCATCAGGACATTAGAAACTGTGTTATGACATGCAGCGGTAGACTAAGACCCCCAGCCTGCAAACCAGAACACTATTCCCTCTCTTTTGTGCTACAAGGAATTAGACAATATAATGCAACAGTCAAAAGGGGAAAATTGCAATAATTTTGAAGCATTATTAAACATGCACACAGTTGTGTTCTAGTCTGAGCATTTTGCATTTCATACAGGGAAACTGTGTATACACATCCAATATGTGAAATATGGCTTATGAGGAATGTGCAAAGTGTGCAAGGGAATGTGCAATTTGTATTGTTTTCTATGTTGAATGTGCAATATGTAGATGGTGAAGGCTCATGATGAGTAATGCAATTTCCATAAATGTGGATTCATATATTTTACCCATTCATCTATAAACCAGGCATTTTTGCAAATATGGACTTTGCTAGTCCATGGAAGACTGGGTTCCCAATTCATCCCAAAAGCACAGGAGAAAGAGGGAAAAATGCTTTTCTGCAACAGTATGTGTATAATTTACTGCAAGCCCACAGAGAATAGGTTAAATTACAGCCAGCATGGAACTAGTAGGTTTTTGTGACTATGAAACTAGAGACTCTGCTTTGTCCACTCTGGCCACCAACGTTTCATCTCCCACAGTTAAACTTGTGCAGACAATCTAAAAATGATTGTCTGACATACTGCAAGTCCGGATGATTAGTTTCGATGTGTTAACCTAATGGTCAGTCACCTGTAATGATAAGAACAGAAAGAATCTGTCCTAAAAAATTTCTGTTCCTGCTCAAACGGCTATGGGCATCAGATATACACACAAAATAGCTTTGTCTAATCTTGTGTCTTCTTCTCAGATACTGTTTGTTGCTTGCTACTTATCACTGCCCTGACTCGACGGCTCCAGCTACAGCGTATTTGTGTGTGCAGTGACCTGAGGATCCATTAGTGGCACTGTCTCCACCAAGCCTGGCTCTAGATATTGATTTGAATTTCTCACACTGAAACTCTGACCTGTACAGTATTTATGTGCATCAGCAGCCTCACATTGGACACATGACACATTATATATAACTTATTTTATGTTCCATAAAAATGTATGACATTATTCTAGATGTGAAAACGAAAGGAACTGAACAATGAGATGAACTGAGAATTACTAACAGTTATTAATTAAAGTCAACTCAACACACTGTACTACAGTGGGTACGGAAAGTATTCAGACCCCCTTAAATTTTTAACTCTTTGTTATATTGCAGCCATATGCTAAAATCATTTAAATTCAGGAAAAAAATGAACTTAAATGATTTTAGCATATGGCTGCAATATAACAAAGAGTTAAAAATTTAAGGGGGTCTGAATACTTTCCGTACCCACTGTAGTACAGTGTGTTGAGTTGACTTTAATTAATAACTGTTAGTAATTCTTAGTTCATCTCATTGTTCAGTTCCTTTCGTTTTCACATCTAGAATAATGTCATACATTTTTATGGAACATAAAATAAGTTATAGTTCAGTGATTTATATTGTGTGACACAGAACTCAACTACATGTTGTTATTCAGTGCTTCACATCAGACCAAACTTTTCTCTTTACAACTGAAATGAACAAAAAAAAAGTCCTGGATGAGTCATGAGTTTCTAATGTTCCTATGTTAGGCAGTGAGCAGTGTTCTCTTCCCTCTGCAGTCTGGTTTTGTGCTGTCATCTGATTTTATTTATTCACACTAGTCGCTCTCTCTCTTTTGGTTATTAGCGCTGATGCTCGACATCCTGCTAGGTTTGTAACAGATGGCAGCACCAAGTAGCACACATTAATGTGCAGAATTATTTTGTTTGTCGTTACCATCTATTACTTTGATCATTTACTTTGACAATTTTGCTCTGAGTGTGAAAGTGTCATTCCATTTGTACTTTACTGGATCATTAAGTCTGATTTTTCTTTCTCTCCACCTTTTTCCTGTCTTGTCTTCCCCTCTCTCTAGGCTGGCAGGGTATGTGGAGGCCTTGGCATCTCGGCTGGGGATGCAGATTCCCGACCTGAGCCCAAAACAGGCTGACATGTGGCAGACCAGAGTCAGCTCTCACACGGTCGGTACCACTGCCCAGCACTAAAACCTGCGAACCTTAAACGTACCTGCTCTCTGTCATTCTTCCAGTAAATTGGGACCTGAATACATGTCTCACTTTTTCAATCATGCTTGTCAAATGCCTTTTAGACTGCTAAACACTCAGCATAAACACAGTCAGAGTGGATATTAATGAACCCACTGCCGTGAGCATTTTGATAAGTTCTCTTTGTTGTGTAATACATTGTAAACATCAAACTCATTCAGGTCTTTGTACAGTGACAACAGACACGCAGGTCTCTGTGGTGCACCCTTTTGATTATTGAAATTATACCTGAATGATTTTTAATATGCTGTGACTCATGAAGTGTGAAAAATCTTAGCTTTAATTAGGTCTAGCTCTAAAAGGCTCTCGACTGGTTCTTGCAAACACATATGGAAAACCTGTCAAAATTTAATTGGAAATCAATGTGTCAGTTTGGATGTTTGTTTCTAGGCATGGTAACTTTTTCTTGCAGCCTTTGCCTGGTCAGTTTTACAGTGAGGAGCCCAGGTGTTGCATGAAAGGTGTTAGTACAATAAAATGATAATACAGCCTCCATGTGCATTCCAAACTGGTCACAACAAACCAAAGTATAATAAAAGAAAAGGAGGTTAAAGCAGGGGTTTTCAACTAATTGTGACCCAGGGACCATCATTCTAAATAAAAAGGACCACAGTTGTGGAGTGGATAGACTGGATGGGCACTATTTTAGTCATCTTAGCTTTTCTAAATTGTATAAATAATGGCAATGTGCTTAAAACATACAGTTAAAAACAATGAAACTGCATGGCTGAATGCATGTTCAAGGACCACAGGCAACACCTTCACGAACCACCAGGGGGCCACACGCCTTTGATTGAAAAACCCCTGAGTTAAAGAAATAGCTTCTGAAACAAATGTTTACTGGAAATGACAGAACTATAATTTATTTTTGAGCAGATGTGTTAAAACGTATTCTTAAAATGTATGTTATCAGTATTATCATCATACTTTCATTCGGTTGTGTGCAGGGTAAAGCCATTGGCGTTGGCATCGGCTGTATCCTTGG